GGTTGGCTTGACGCGCCTTTCTCTTGGCACGTTTCTCTTTTTCACCCTCCACTCGTGCCTCCTCAAATTCTGCAGCACTGCTGGTCACAGCTGACCTCCAGCTGGAGCGGTCAAGGGCCAGGGCTTCCCAGTTCTCAGTGTCTATGCCAGAGTTTTTAAGGTTGGCTTTGAGCCCATCTTTCAATCTCTTTTCCTGTCCACCAACATTCCGTTTTCCGTTCTTGAGTTCGGAGTAGAGCAACTGCTTTGGAAAGTGGTCAGGCATCCGGACAACATGGCCGGTCCAGCGGAGTTGATGGCAGAGGACCATCGCTTCAATGCTGGTGGTCTTTGCTTCTTCCAGCACGCTGACATTTGTCCGCTTGTCTTCCCAAGAGATTTGCAGGATTTTCCGGAGGCAGCGCTGATGGAATCATTCCAGGAGTTGCATGTGACATCTGTAGACAGTCCACATTTCGCAGGCATATAGCAGGGTTGGGAGGACAATAGCTTTATAAACAAGCACCTTGGTATCCCTACGGATGTCCCGGTCCTCAAACACTCTCTGCTTCATTCGGAAAAATGCTGCACTCGCAGAGCTCAGGCGGTGTTGTATTTCGGTGTCGATGTTGACTTTGGTGGAGAGGTGGCTGCCAAGGTTGCGGAAATGATCAACATTCCCTCTCATTCATGCTCCACCTGGCCACCGGGTGCGCAAGCAGAGCCGGCACTCAATCGTTCTCCGGGTTCAATCCCCTCCCCATGACTGACTCCCTTTCCCGATCCCCGGCACTCCACCCGCCTCCTCTCCTCTCCCCAAACCGCGGGTGGGCCAAGGGGCAGAGCCGCCGCGCCTGGCCCGCTTTGGGTCTGGAGACGTGTCTGAAGACCCCAGTGTGCGCACCAAAAGTCGCCTCTTCTCCTGACTTTCTCTTCAGCCATTGGGACCAAGAGAGAGAGAGAGAGAGACCCTCCGGCTGGAGGTATCTCCCACCTCCGCTCCCTCCTTTGTTTTTGCGCCTACCTTCAGGAAAGGTGGGCATCTCCCCCTCTCTCTCTCTCTCTCTCTCTCTCTCTCTCTTGGTCCCAATGGCTGAGGAGAAAGTCAGGAGAAGAGGTGACTTTTGGTGCACACGCCGGGGTCTTCAGGCACGTCTCCGGACCCAAAGCGGGCCAGGCAAGGGAGCAAGTGCGGCAAGTGTAGTTACTGGGATTTATAGTTCACCTACAATCAAAGAGCATTCAGAAATCGGCTCACAGAACTCCCATGAGCAAGGGAAAATACTTGAAGGGTTTGGTGGGTATTGACCTTGAGTTTTGGAGTTGTAGTTCACTTACATCGAGAGAGCACTGTGGACTCAAACAATGATGGATCTGGACCAAGCTTGGCACGAATACTCAATATTCTCAAATGGGAACATTGGTGGAGTTTGGGGAAAATAGACCTTGAAATTTGGAGTTCTAGTTGCTGGGATTTATAGTTCACCTACAATCTGAAGCCCACCAACGATAAAATTGGGCCAAACACAGAACCCCCATGAAGAACAGAAATTACTTCCAAAAACAAAGAGAAGGACAGGCTGAGAGATCTTCAACCTTCTCTGCCAAAGAGGTTCCTAAAACCATCAGAAATATGTGTTCGTGGTCAGCTGTGACCAACAGTGCTGCAGAATTTGAAGAGGCACGAAAGAGAGAAACGTGCCAAGAGGAAGGCGCGTCAAATCAACCCCAACTGGGACTGCCTTCCACCTGGAAACTGATGCCTTCTCTGTGGGAGAAGATGCAGATCAAGAATAGGGCTCCACAGCCACCTACGGATCCACCCCCAGGTTACCACTCTTGGAGGACCATCATCCCCGGACTACAAGGGATTGCCTAAGTAAGTAAGTGTTCTCTGATGGTGTTTGGTCACCTCTGTTGGAGCTCAGCCTGTGATTGTGTTTCAGGGTCAGGGTGCTTTGGATGTGGGGAGTGATATCAATGAATTTGAAGATGGCAATGGTTTGGTCAATGGGATTGATGCAGAGAATGACCAGGAGACCCCTGTGTAAAGTGTAGTTTCCGATGAGAATGTCCCTGCGGGGTGTGGGGATGATAGTGTGCTCCCTGAATTGTTACCAGAGAGTTCCCATAGTAGGGAACATGAAAACAGCTCGGCACCTGGCCCAGCTGCAGAAATTGATGAGCAAATAGATAGACGGGAGGAGATTAATCAAAACAGAAAAGCCGAACAGTGGCTTCAGCGTTCTGCCAAGTTCAGACAGAAGAAGATAAGGGAATCTCAATTAAAGCTAAACTAATTTCTGAGTGCTTGGGGATAGCTTAACGAGGGGATAAAAGTCCCAAGTACAGCATATGTAGTCAGATGAAGCATCATTTAGAATCAAGTTAAGTTCTCGTCCTTGTTTCATGGAAACCTTGCTTGGAAGATTCATGGTTAAGTGCCTTTTGTTTCATGGTTTTGATTCCTAGATCCCATGTTTTTATATTCATGCCTTGGATCCCTGTTCCCTGATTTATTGAATTTTATTTGGGACGTTAATAAAATATGGACTTTGCTGGACTATTACTATAAACTATTTTCTTCCTGCTTATCTTCTCCCCTAATTGGATTTAGCTATTTCTTTAAAGTGCTTTTTACTTTTATCTTCAATGAAAGGATTGTTTTCCTACTCAGTGGTGTGGCGTTTAAAGTCAGAGAGCTTTTCCTGTCTTGGAGTGCAACAGCCTCTCTGACACCCCCTCGTGACCCTCTGACACCCCCTCGCGACCCCCCTAGGGGTCGCGACCCCCAGGTTGAGAAACACTACCCTAGAAGAAGGCTGGGTTGAATGACCTTTGGGGACCCCTTTCAACAAAAATGAACAAGTCATTCTTTCTGCAATCTTTATGAATCATTTATGGGGTATGTGCTCTTTGTGTAGAGTTATCCAATGCATTCCCATTTTCCAAAGTGTTGCTATTTGATCTTCTCTTTTTTGATGTTTGGGTCCGAGAACCTGCTTGTCAATCAGAAGGTAGAGTGGGCGGAGACTTCCAAGGAGGAGGCGGGGCCTCCAGCTGTCAATTCTCAAGTTCCAAAAGTTGGCCAGAGAGTAACCGGACCCCCCATGGACCTCTTGGCTGGGTCACCTGGTCTTGTTCACCTCTCCCGTTGTTCCACAACAATGGGAGAAGAAAACAAAAACACAGGCCGGGAGAGAAAGAGGGGGAAAAATCTCCTTAGGTTGCATTCCTTCCCTGTAATCTTCGAACTGCTGGCCAAGAACATCAAGGATGGAAGCAAAGCCATTCATTGCCTGAGCAGGCACAACTCATTGCGGTTGCCTGCATTGGATGGGGGCCCTTTGGATGATATTAGTGCTGGAAGAGACCCCTAAGGCCATCTAGTCCACCCGCTGATTATATAGGAAGACACAATCAAAGCCCTCCCAACAGATGGCCAGCCTCTGCTGAAAAACCTCCAGAGAAGGAGACCCCATCACCATCATCATTGCTATAATAATATTTATTATTATTATTATTATTATTATTATTATTATTATTATTGCATATTTATGTTGTTGTTTTTGAAGATGATCTTAGAGCTGGAAGAGRCCCCTAAGGCCATCTAGCCCACGCCCTGATTATATAGGAAGATACAATCAAAGCCCTCCCAACAGATGGCCAGTCTCTGCTAAAAAACATCCAGAGAAGGAGATACCATCACCATCATCATTACTATAATAATAATAATAATAATAATAATAATAATAATAATAATAATGTTGTTGTTATTTCTTATTTATGTTGTTGTTTTTGAAGATGATCTCAGAGCTGGAGGAGACCCCTAAGGCCATCTAGTCCACCCCCTGGTCATATAGGAAGACACAATCAAAGCCCTCCCAAAATATGGCCATCCAGCCTCTGCTTTGAAACTTCCAGAGAAGGAGACACCATAAATAATAATAATAATAATAATAATAATAATAATAATAATAGACACACATTGGATGGGGGCCCTTTGGATGATATTAGTGCTGGAAGAGACCCGTAAGGCCATCTAGTCCACCCACTGATTATATAGGAAGACACAATCAAAGCCCTCCCAACAGATGGCCAACCTCTGCTGAAAAACCTCCAGAGAAGGAGATGCCATCACCATCATCATTGCTATTATTATTTATTTATTTATTTATTTATTTATTTATTTCATATTTATTTTGTTGTTTTTGAAGACGATCTTAGAGCTGGAAGAGGCCCCTAAGGCCATCTAGTCCACTTCCTGGCCATATAGGAAGACACAAAGCCCTCCCAAAAGAAAACCTCCAGAGAAGGAGACACCATAATAATAATAATAATAATAATTATTATTATTATTATTATTATTATTATTATTATTTCTTATTTATTTATTTATTTATTTATTTATTTATGTTGTTGTTGTTATTGTTGACTACCCAGGCCAACCCCCTTCTGCCAGGCAGGAAAACACCATCAAAGCCCTCACGACAGATGGCCATCCAGCCTCTGCTTAAAAACCTCCAGAGAAAGAGACATAATAATAATAATAATAATAATAATAATAATAATAATAATAATAATAATCTTATTTATTTATTTATGTTGTTGTTGACTATCCAGGCAGGAAGACACCATCAAAGCCCTCCCGACAGATGGCCATCCAGCCACAGCTTGAAAACCTCCAGAGACACAACTACTTGGTACGTAATACATCTCACGGTGATAGTCTTTAATAGCTAACAGGCAATGTCAATGATTATTTGAATGCAACTATTTGAATGCAACCATCCCTTCCAGGCAAAGCTTGTAAAGGCCAAGGACGCAAAGAGAGGCAGCAGATATCATTCTCCTCCAACTTGCATTCATCTTGTGTTTGTCCACTGATTCTTTTACTCTCCCACTTAAATCCACAGTAATCCTTCTTTGGGCCGATAGCATCCAAAGTCCTGGGTTTGAAACTGTGGCTCATTAGCAGAGTCTGTTTGGCTTGCTGTTTCTGAGTTTCGATTGCGAGTTTGTTATGTTGTGGGTTTAGTGGATTGGAGTAGAGTCTGCATTTGGTGACTGAGGGGTTCTTGCTGTGACTTTTCCTTCTGCTGCTGGGATCTGAAAAGGAGAGAGCATCCGTTGGACATCAGCATTTGCATTTTCATATCTCTATCTATCTATCTATCTATCTATCTATCTATCTATCTCTCTTCCAGCCCCATTCTGTCAGGTGGGAAAACACCATCAAAGCCCTAGTGACAGATGGCCATTCCACCTCCAGAGAAGGAGACTCCTACATCGTCATCATTGAATCCTAGAGTTGGAAAGGAACCCCAAATGCCACCACATTCTCCCAGGTAGGAAATCACAATTAAAGCCCTCCCGGCAGATGGCCATTCATAACCTTAATCATCTAGAGTTGGAGGACACCCCAAGGGCCATTTAGTCCAACCCCATTCTGTCAGGTAGGAAGGCACTATCAAAGCCACCTCCAGAGAAGGAGACTCCTACATCATCATTATCATCAAATCACAATTAAAGCCTTCCCAACAGGTGGCCATCCATAATCTCAATTATAGAACCCTAGAGTTGTAGGACACCCCAAGGGCCATTTAGTCCAACCCCATTCTGTCAGGTGAGAAGACACCATCAATGGCCATTCCACCTCCAGAGAAGGTAACTCCTACATCATCATTATCATCATCACCATCATCATCACCATCATCATTGAATCCTAGAGTTAGAAAGGGACGCCAAGGGCCATCCAGTCCAACTCAGTTCTACCAGGTCACCATTAAAGCCTTCCCGACAGGTGGCCATCCATAATCTCAATCATAGAACCCTAAAGTTGTAGGACACCGCAAGGGCCATTTAGTCCAAACTCATTATGTCAGGTGGGAAGACACCATCAATTGCCATTCCACCTCCAGAGAAGGAGACTCCTACATCATCATCATCATCGTCATCATCATCATCATCATTGAATCCTAGAGTTGGAAAGGAACCCCAAGGGCCATCCAGTCCAACCCTATTCTGTCAGTTGGGAAGTCACCATTAAAGCCCTCCTGACAGATGGCCATCCATAATCTCAATCATAGAACCCTAGAGTTGGACAACACCCCAAGGGTCATTTAGTCCAACCTCATTATGTCAGATGGGAAGACAACATCAAAGCCCTAGTGACAGATGGCCATTCCACCTCCAGAGAAGGAGACTCCTACATCATCATCATCATCATTGAATCCTAGAGTTGGAAAGGAATGCCAAGGCCATCCAGTCCAACCCTATTCTGTCAGGTGGGAAGACACCATCCAATCCCTCCTGACAGATGGCCATACAGCCTCTGCTTCATAAATTCCAGAGGAGGCTCCATTTCCATCATCACTGTTATAAATTATTAGTATTAGTATTGAATCCTAGAATTGGAAAGGACGCCGAGTTCTATCCAGTTAAACCCCCTTCTGCCAGGCAGGAAGACACCATCCAAGCCCTCCCGACAGATGGCCATCCAGTCTCTGCTTACAAATCTCCAGATATCTCAGCCGACACATCAAAACAAAGGGTGCCTATTACAATTTGAGACTCGAGATTGACAACCTCGTCTCCCTTTATATACTCACTTGCTCTCCACCTGTTCTATTGTTTCCGGGAGGTGGACGTTGCGCGTCTCTGGTAGGAAGGCAGCGGCAACCCCAGAGATGATGGGAGCAGCTCCATAGATCAAGTGGGGCAGGAAAGGGATGAACTCGCCAGACAACTTCACCAAGGGGGCTACCATTCCCCCCAGGCGGGCCATCGTGTTGCCATGTCCCATGCCGGTCTGCCTGGAAGTCCAAGCAAAAGGGTTGTTTGGTGCCATTGTCTATCAAGGCTCCTCCTTCACCAGAAGGAACCAAATATGGCATTGCAGAATGAGATTTCTGTCCTTCTTCTCCTCCAAGTGTGTGTCTACACTGTAGAAGCAATGCAGTTTGGCACTACTTGGGGTTTGTAGTTTGTGACGGCAAACTACATACCCAAATACCTTCCAAACTGCAACTATTCCCCCAGTCTTACCTGAGCACCGTTGGGTAAAGTTCTCCGGTGTATAAATAGACGCAGTTGAATGAGGCAGACAAGCAGCCTTTCCCAAGGACAGCAAGAGCAGTTCTCAAGGTTGGCATCTCTGGAATAATAATAAGAAGAATCTCATCGATTATCAGGTTCAAATCCAGGGAGAGTGCAGATGAGCTCCCACTGTCAGCTCCAGCTCCCCATGCGGGGACATGAGAGAAGCCTCCCACATGGATGGTAAAACATCAAAACATCCAGGCATCCCCTGGACAACGTCCTTGCAGATCATTGCAGTTTCACAAGTCACTCCTGACGAAAAATTATCATTGATGGATGGATGGATAGATGGATGGATGGATGGATGGATGGCTAGATCAAAGGACGGACGGATGGATGGAGAGAGAGAGAGAGAGAAAGAGAGAGAGATAGACAGATCAAAGGATGGATAGAAGATGGATAGCTAGCCAGATAGATAGTTAAATAGAAAGATCAAAGGATGGAGGAATAGATAGATAGAGCAAAGGATGGATGGAATGATGGATGGAGAGATAGATAGATAGATAGATAGATAGATAGATAGATAGATAGATAGATAGATAGATAGCTCAAAGGATGGATGGAATGATGGATGGGTGGATGGAGAGATAGATAGATAGATAGATAGATAGATAGATAGATAGATAGATAGATAGATAGATAGATAGATAGACAGACAGATAGATAGATCAAAGGATGGATGGAATGATGGATGGTTGGAGAGAGAGAGAGAGAGAGAGATCAAAGGATGGATAGAAGATGGATAGCTAGCCAGATAGATAGTTAAATAGAAAGATCAAAGATGGATGAATAGATAGATAGAGCAAAGGATGGATGGAGAGATAGAGAGATAGAGAGATAGAGAGAGAGAGAGAGAGAGAGAGAGATCAAAGGATGGATGGAATGATGGATGGATGGATGGATGGATGGATGGAGAGATAGATAGATAGATAGATAGATAGATAGATAGATAGATAGATGATAGATAGACAGATAGATCAAAGGATGGATAGAAGATGGATAGCTAGCCAGATAGATAGTTAAATAGAAAGATCAAAGATGGATGAATAGATAGATAGAATAGATCAAAGGATGGATAGAAGATGGATAGCTAGCCAGATAGATAGTTAAATAGAAAGATCAAAGATGGATGAATAGATAGATAGAGCAAAGGATGGATGGAGAGATAGAGAGATAGAGAGATAGAGAGATAGAGAGAGAGAGAGAGAGATAGATAGATAGCTGCTATAATAGATAGATGGATGGATGGATGGATGGATGGATGGATGGATGGATGGAGAGATAGATAGATAGATAGATAGATAGATAGATAGATAGATAGATAGATGATAGATAGACAGATAGATCAAAGGATGGATAGAAGATGGATAGCTAGCCAGATAGATAGTTAAATAGAAAGATCAAAGGATGGATGAATAGATAGATAGAGCAAAGGATGGATGGAGAGATAGAGAGATAGAGAGATAGAGAGATAGAGAGAGAGAGAGAGAGATAGATAGATAGATAGATAGATAGATAGATAGATAGATAGATCAAAGGATGGATGGAATGATGGATGGATGGGTGGATGGAGCGATAGATAGATAGATAGATAGATAGATAGATAGATAGATAGATAGATAGATAGATGGATGGATGGAGGGAGTGAGACAGATCGATCAAAAGGTAGATGGATGGATGAAAAGATGGATAGGTGGATGGATAGATAGATAGATAGATAGATAGATAGATAGATAGATAGATCAAAGGATGGATGGATGGATGAAAAGATGGATGGATGGATAGATCAAAAGATGGATGGGTGGATGGACAGAGAGAGAGAGACAGACAGATCGATCGATCAAAGGATAGATGGATGGATGAAAAGATTGATAGATGGATAGGTGGATAGATGGATGGATAGATCAAAGGATGGATGGGTGGATGGATGGATGGATAGATAGATAGATAGATAGATAGATAGATAGATAGATAGATAGATAGATCGATCGATCAAAGGATGGATTGATGTATTTTTGTACTACCAAGGATGTTTCTGGGTGAAGTGGCCCTTTGTGATGACACCGGATTGTCTGTTGCTCGGTGAAGTGGCCTTTAATGATGTCAGTGAGGGGAAAAGTGACATGTGTAGGAAGAGAAGGAAGAAAAGAGTAATATTGCCATGGAGACATTGTGAGCTAGACCCTCTGAGACTTGGAGAAGGGAGAAAGCAGGCAGGAGGGGTCCTCATGACAGTAGGTGATATGCTAGTAAAATATAAGAAGAATATAAGAAGAATAAAATATAAAAACCTCAAAATAATAAAAAAAATCGTAGAGTAATAATTACTGAAAGATGAAAGTAATATAAAAATAATGTAATAATATAAAGATAATATATAATATAAATAATGAAATAATAAATATATAATCATATAATAATTTTTAAAATAATATACATTAATATAAACATGTATAACACAATATAATATACAAATATATGTACAAATAATAAAATAAAAAATTAATAATTAAATGTAAATTGAATATAATGAAATTATAGAATAATAGGATGGATGTATTAGAGCAGTGTTTCTCAACCTGGGGGTCGGGACCCCTGAGGGGGTCACGAGGGGGTGTCAAAGGGGTCTCCAAAGACCATCAGAAAACACAGTCTTTTCTGTTGGTCATGGTGGTTCTATATGGGAAGTTTGGGCCAATTCTATTGCTGGTGGGGTTTAGAATGCTCTTCAATTGTACTTGAACTTTAAATCCCAGCAACTACAACTTCTGAATGTCAAGGTCTGTTAACCCTAACCTCCACCAGTGTTCACATTTGGGCATATTGAGTATTCGTGCCAAGTTTGGTCCAGATCCATCATTTTTTGATTCCACAGTGCTCTCTGGATGTAGATGAACTACAACTCAAAAATGCAAGGTCAATGCCCACCAAACCCTTGTAGTGTTTTCTGTTGGTCATGGGAGTCCTTTGTGGTAAGTTTGGCCCAGTTTCATCATTGGTGGGGTTCAGAATGCTCTGTGATTGTAGGTGAACTATAAATCCCAGCAACTACAACTCCCAAATGTCAAGATTCTATTTTCCCCAAACCCCACCAGTTTTCACATTTGGGCATATTGAGTATTCGTGCCAAGTTTGGTCCAGATCCATCATTGTTTGAGTCCACAGTGATCTCTGGATGTAGGTGAACTACAACTCCAAAACCAAAGGACGCTGCCCACCAAACCCTTCCAGCATTTTATATTGGTCATGAGAGTTCTTTGTGCCAAGTTTGGTTCAATACCATTGTTGGTGAAGTTCAGAATTCTCTTTGATTGTAGGTGAAATATAAATCCCCGCAACTACAACTCCCAGATGACAAAATCAATCTCCTCCCCAACCTAACCAGTATTCAGATTTGAGTGTATTGGGTATTAGTGCCGAATTTGGTCCAATAAATGAAAATACATCCTGCATATCATATATTTACTGAAGTGACTGGACTGACCTTGAAGGAGCTGGGGGTGGTGACGGCCGACAGGGAGCTCTGGCGTGGGCTGGTCCATGAGGTCACGAAGAGTCGGAGACGACTGAACGAATGAACAACAACAATCATAACAGTAGCAAAATTATAGTTATGATGTCGCAACGAAAATAACTTTTTCATTGAGGGTCACGACAACATGGGGGTCGCGGCATTAGGAAGGTTGAGAAACACTGCATTAGAGTCCTAGCTCAAAATCAACTTTGCTGCCTAAGTGAGCTGTCCAAGGTCCTGAAGATGGCCAGCACTTGGGTATCTCTCTCAATCTTGACCAAGAATGCCTTTCATTCCTCTCCACCATGGTTGTTCCCACCCATAACCTTTTCCCAATGGGCTTGACCCATTGTCATAGGTGCCTCCTGCCAGCACAGAAGGTGCCACCTCACCTTGAGGGATGTTGATATTGGCCAGGATGGTTAGTCCAGCCAAGATCAGGGAAGCAGCTTGGGTCGGGCGGCGGCCAATGTAACTGATAGTGAGCACCGAGACGAACTTGGCGGGGAAGTCAACCGCTCCGAAAATGAGGAGGGTCAAATAGATGTTGGTACCAAAGTTCTGCAAGTCCATGACCAGTCCATAGTAGGCGAAGCTGGTGGAGAACCTGGGAGAGAAGGGGAGGGTTTCAGAAGCCGTTGGATCGCATTGAGAGACCCAGAACTTATTTCCAAGACGTTCTAGGTCTTCCAATATGACTGCATCAGGGCAGTCATATCCCGCAACTCTGTGCTTGGTTCCTCACCACACAAAGGACAAGCAGCAGGAAATACGGCGCATGGTGGGCGTCCGCACCAGGTCCAAAATGGAATAGCTTGCTTTCAAAGAAGCCATTTCTTCTTTCATGTGAGACCTCAAGAACTGGAGAGAGTGAAAAGTAGAAAATATTATGAGAATGAGAGATTTAGATTTCCTTCCTTCCTTCTTCCTTCCTTCCCACCCTCTTCTCTCCTTCCTTCCTTCCTCCTTCCTTCCTTCCCTCCCCCCTCCCTCGCTCCTCTTCCTTCCTTCCTTCCTTCCTTCCTTCCTTCCTTCCTTCCTTCCTTCCTTCCTTCCTTCTTCCTTCCTCCCTCCCTCCCTCCCTCCCCCTCCCTCCCTCCCTCCCTTCTTACTTTCTTCTTTCATTCCTTCCTTCTTCTTCTTCCTTCTTTCCTTCCTCCCTTCCTTCCTTCCCTTCCCCCTTCCTCCTTCCCTTCCTTCCTTCCTTCCTTCCTTCCTTCCTTCCTTCCTTCCTTCCTTCCTCTTCCTCCTTCTTTCCTTCCCTCCTCCTTCCTTCTTTTCTTCCTTCCTTCCTCCTTCCTCCCTCTTCCTTCCTTCTTCCTCCCTCCTCCCTCCCTCCTTCCTTCCTTCTTCCTTCTTCTTTCCTTCCTTCCTTCTTTCCTCTTTTTTCCTCCCTCCTCCCTCCTTGCTATTCCTCCCTTCTTTCTTCCTTTATTTATTTATTCTTTCCTCCTTTCCTTCCCTCCTCCTTCCTTCTTTTCTTTCTTCCTTCCTCCTCCTTCCCTCTTTCCTTCCTTCTCTCTTCCTTCCTTCCTTCCTTCCTTCCTTCTTTCCCTCTTCTCTCCTTCCTTCCTTCTTTCCTTCACTCTCCCTTCCCTTCCTATTCCTCCTTCCTTCTTTCTTCCTTTATTTCTTCCTTCTTTCCTTCTTTCCTCCTTCTATCCTTCCCTCCTCCTTCCTTCTTTTCTTCCTTCCTTCCTCCTTCCTCTTTCCCTCTTTCCTTCCTTCTTACCTCCTTCATTCCTTCTTCTTTCCTTCCTTCCTCATTTCTTCCTTCCTCCTTTCTTTCCTTCCCTCCATATTCTCTCTTTCCTTCCTTCCTCCTTCCTCCCTCTTTCCTTCCTTCCTTCTTTCCTTCCTGCCTTCCTTCTTCCTTCTTCTTCCCTTCCTTCCTCATTTCTTCCTTCCTCCTTTCTGTCGTTCCCTTCCTCTTCTCTCCTTCCTTCCTTCCCTCCCTCCCTCCCATTCCTTCCTTCCTTCCTGAGGCTGTTAGGAATTGTGGGAGTTGAGATCCAAAACACCTAGAGGGCCCAAGTTTGCCCATGGCTGATGTAGATGTTTGAGCTCTAGTCCACCTCACCTCAGTGGTCAGCTTGTTGGCCACTTCGGGCTTCCCGTTGATCCTGGCCACCCTCTTCAGCTCCTTCGTGGCCCAATCTAGCTTGTTAGCCGTCACAAGCCAGCGGGCCGATTCGGCAAACCACCTGCAGGAGAGCCATAAAATCCTAGCATTGGAAGAGACCCCCAAGGGCCATCCAGTCCAACCCCCTTCCATCATTCCGGAAGGCACCATCCAAGCCCTCCCAACATGTGGCCAGCTGTCAAGCCTGCCCTCTATGCCCTCGCCCAAGTCATTGATAAAGATGTAGTGATTGGGCCAAAGGTTTTACCAGGAGTAGAAAAAGAAGAGGAAATACGGCAAGGAGACGGCCAGTTGCAAGTGACGCCATTCTGGAACGAGGTACGCCAGACCTGCCAAGAGAATCTGTCCAGTGGTGTAGGAATAGCCGGTCAGAGCGCCCAGTATGGGCCTTGTCCTGGTGGGCGTCCATTCCACGCCTGTTGGGAGTAATGCATTGGGTTATTGCTTATAGCTTGAGTCATCGAATCATAGAAGAGACTACAACCCATTTCTGCCACAATCAAAGCCCTCCTGACAGATAACCACCTAGCTTTTGCTGAAAGACCTTTGGAGGAGACTCCATCCTCCTCATCATTACTATCAATGCTATTATAAGAGACTATTATTATCATTAGATGAGGAGGAGGTGGAGGAAGATTGAGTCCTAGAGTTAGAAGAGACCCCAAGAGCCATCCAGTCCATTCACATTGTTTCAGACAGGAAGACACTATCAAACCATCCCTGACAGGTGGCCTCTTCTAAATGATCTCTGGAGAAGGAGAGTCCATCACTTTGAGAATCAATATTATAAAATATTATTATTATTATTATTATTATTATTATTATTATTATTATTGTTATTGTTATTATTGATTCCTAGAGTTGGAAGAGAAGCCAAGAGCCATCCAGTCCAACTCCGTTCTGTTAGACTGAAAGGCACCATCAAAGCTCTCCTGACAAATGGCCATGCAGCCTCTGCTGAAAGACCTCTGGAGAAGAAGACACCATCCATCTCATCCTCCTCCTCATCATCAATGTTATTATAAGAGATTATGATGATGGTTGAATCCTAGAGAGAGCCCAATGGCCATCCAGTCCAACCCCATTCTGTCAGATAGGAAGGCACCATCAAAGCTCTCCTGACAGATGTCCATCCTGCTTCTGCTGAAAGACCTCTGGAGAAGAAGACTCCATCCATCTCATCCTCATCATCAATGTTATTATAAGAGATGATGATGGTGGTGGTGGTGGTTGAATCCTAGAGAGAGCCAAATGGCCATCCAGTCCAACCCCATTCTGTCAGATAGGAAGGCACCATCAAAGCTCTCCCAACAGATGTCCATCCTGCCTCTGCTGAAAGACCTCTGGAGAAGAAGACTCCATCCATCTCCTCATCATCATCAATGTTATTATAAGAGATGATGATGAGGATGATGATGATGATGGTTGAATCCTAGAGAGAGCCCAATGGCCATCCAGTCCAACCCCATTCTGTCAGATAGGAAGGCACCATCAAAGCTCTCCCAACAGATGTCCATTCAGCCTCTGCTGAAAGATCTCTGGAGAAGGAGACTCTATCCATCTCCTCCTCATCATCAATGTTATTATAAGAGAGGATGAGGATGAGGATGATGATGATGGTTGAATCCTAGAGAGAGCCAAATGGCCATCCAGTCCAACCCCATTCTGTCAGATAGGAAGGCACCATCAAAGCTCTCCCAACAGATGTCCATCCAGCCTCTGCTGAAAGATCTCTGGAGAAGACTCCATCCATCTCATCCTCCTCCTCATCAATGTTATTATAAGAGATGATGATGATGGTTGAATCCTAGAGAGATCTAAATGGCCATCCAGTCCAACCCCATTCTGTCAGATAGGAAGGCACCATCAAAGCTCTCCTGACAGATGTCCATGGATGAAGAAGACTCCATCCATCTCATCCTCCTCCTCATCATCAATATTATTATAAGAGATGATGATGAGGATGATGATGATGATTATGATGATGGTTGAATCCTAGAGAGAGCCCAATGGCCATCCAGTCCAACCCCATTCTGTCAGATAGGAAGGCACCATCAAAGCTCTCTCGACAGATGTCCATCCTGCCTCTGCTGAAAGATCTCTGGAGAAGAAGACTGCATCCATCTCATCCTCCTCATCATCATCAATATTATTATAAGAGATGATGATGATGATGATGATGATGATGATGATGATGATGATGATGATTGAATCCTAGAGAGAGCTCAAAAGCCATCCAGTCCAACACCATTCTTCCAGGCTGGAAGACACCTTCTAACCACTCCTGACAGGTGGCCATCCAGTTCTGCTATAAGATCTCTACATATTCCAACGTCATTATCGTAATTAATATTGTTGTTGTTGTTGAATCTAATAATTGAGAGAAAACCCCAGAGGCATCCAGTCCAACCCCCTTCTGCCAGACAGGGAGATACTACCAAACCAATCCTGACAGATGACCATCTAGCTTTTGCTTAAAGACCTCCACAGAAGGATATTCCATCATCACTGTCAATATTATTATAAAAGATTATTATTATTATTATTATTATTATTATTATTATTATTATTATTAATTGTAATAGTAATAGTGGTAGTAGTACTATAATAGAATCCCAGAGTTGGGTGAGAGCTCCAGGTCCAACCAGTCCAACCCCCTTCTGCCAGACAGAAAGATACTATCAAACCACTCCTGACAGATGACCAGCTAGCTCTTGCTTAAAGACCTCCAGAGGATATTCCATCATCATTGTCAATATTATTATAAATAATAATAATAATAATAATAATAATTATTATTATTATTATTATTATTGAATCCTAGGCTTGGGTGAGAGCCTGAGGTCCAACCAACCCAACCTCCTTTTGTCAGCCAGGAAGACACCATCAAACCACTCCCAACAGATGGCCATGCAGCCTCCCTTTAAAAAACCTCCAGACCACATGGAAGGGAATGCTAGGCAATGCTCACAAATAGAGACACAATTGAGGACGACGCCTGAGTAGGCCATTCCTGTCAGGAAGCGGAAGACGCAATAGACACTGAAGTTGGGGGAGAAGGCCGTCACCGTCCCAGAGATGGCCAGCTGCAGGTAGGACCAGATGAGGATCAGCCGGCGTCCAAACCTGAGGAAGAGAAAAGGAGTGAAAGTTGCACACTCTCGGCCTCAGAAGATCCTGTGATGGTGGTCACTTAAGGTCGCCATAAAGACCATAAAGACTTACTTGTCTGAAAGGCCACCAAATATGACGCCTCCGACCAATACGCCAGCCATGTAGATCGACTGGGCCATTTCTTTCAGGGTCCTTGAAGAGCAAACCAGGTCCCACTGCAAAAAAATGGGGTTCAGAAGGAGCAGAGGAGAAAAGTGTCCAACTGTGAAGACATTCATGGAGTAGAAGGGTATGGCCGTCCATGAAGGAAAACAATACGTGTCTGGTAGAGTCTCCTTCTCTGGAGGCGTTTCATCAGAGGTGGAAGACTGACCATCTGTTGGGAGGGCTTTGATTGTGCCTTCCTGCATGGCAGGGGATTGGACTCTTGGGGTCTCTTCCAACTCTATGATTCCTCTTGAGCAATAGTACCATGTAAAGCACGTCTGCCTATACCGAATGAGGACCGTCACACTTTGAGTCCTGTATTATTATTACACTAATCATCATCATCATCATTATCCAGGACTCAAAGTGTGCAGTTCCCAAGACCATCTCATGGAGACATGGCATTTCAAGTAAGGTCCAACTGCAGTCATTCCGTAGTGTAGATGCACCCAGAAAAGGGTATGGACCTTGGGAAACTATAACTCCCAGGAGGACTCCATCACATGGGTCCATGGCACTTAAAGTGGGGTGCAAAGGCATTCATGCAGATCAAGAATAGGGCTCCACAGTCACCTATGGACCCACCACCAGCACACTGATCCTGGAAGACTATCCTACTCAGACAATGGGGGAGCGCCTAAGTAAGTAAGTAAGTAAGGTCATAACATGGGAACTGCCTTACATTAAAGTGCACGTACAGTGAAACGGAAGCGGCACGCAACCCAAGACCAGATGTGCAAAATGAGACAGAAGAAATGTGGCCTCACCTCCATGACGAAGGTATTTGAGAAGACGCTGCGGTCGTAAAACCATCCGTCGCGGCACGGCTCCGTTTCCAGGTTGGTCCCGTTGTAAGCCTCGTTGTGAGTCCCATTGAGGATGCTGGTATTCAAGAGCCACCACTGGTGCCGGACAAAGCGGCGACACTGTTCGGGACGTTTCCGTTCGTCCCGAGGGATGGCGACAGTAAGGAGTTCCTCTTCTCCCAAGCTTTGGTTTCCAGGGCCATCTTCATAGCGGACCACGCAATGGTGGTCACCGAGGGCTGCCGTGAAGTTCTGCAGCATCATATGGCTTGCCATCAGCAACACCGGGAGGGACAACAGGGTTACGTAGATGATCTGGAACCGTCCCATGCTGCCCACATGTTCCAAAAGCTCTGCGAAGCTCATGATGGCCTTCAAGAAAGACCAAGCTCTACCAAGACAAGAATGGATGGGTGAGCCTCAAAGACAAGCCACGAAATGATGATGATGATGGTTCTTCCACTAACAGGAGACTTGGTGTCCACCATGAAACCAGAAACCCGAACGTATTGCTTTATGTGATCGCTTCGTCATCTTTGATCTTCTTGTCCACCACACTCAATATCAATATGGCCTTTTCTCTATTCCATCAGAAGATCCAGAGGTCAGGATGAAGCTCCCATCCTTGTGTCCCATCTTCTAACACACCCGCCAAGCTTGAGCTATCCGAAGGTGTATATAAAGCCCACACTTGGTTAAAGTGTGACAGCGTTGAGGGCCCAAAAGAGGTGAAAGTGAACACCAGGAGCATCTTTTGGCCCAGAGGTCAGCCTCGGACGGAGAGATGTGGTCCTTCTTGACCTTTTGCCACATGTTTGGGTGTATTATTCACACAGCTGTGTTAGGAATTAACTTCCTTTGGGAGCCAGCCAGGATTGGGTGCAACGCTCTGATTTGTTCTGAAGGAGGTCTGAATACCAAGTTTAGGATCTAGAATGACAACTTCTGGCTATAGGTGTGATGTGAATGGTGTAATTAATGCTCTGGAGGACTTTTGGGAAACCTTAGTATCCCACTGTATGCAGATACCTGGTCCTCCTCCTCCATACAGAAGGTCAATATCTCGATTTAGGTATATTAGGTGGAGTCTCCTTGTCTGGAGACGTTTAGGCAGAGGATGGATGGCCATCTGTCAAGAAGGCTTTGATTGTGTTTCATTGATGTCGGAACTGGGTTGGACTGGATAGTCATTGGGGTCTCCTCCAACTCTAGGAGTATATGATTCCTCTCTTTGGATGTTTAAGCAGAGGATAGATGGCCATCTATCAGGAGGACTCAATAGTCATTGGAGTCTTCTCCAACTCTAGGGTTATATAATCCCTCTATTTCTATGTTTAAGCAGAGGCTGAATGGCCATCTGTTGGGAAGGCTTTGATTTCGTTTTTCGGTTATCAGAACTGGGTTGGACTGGATAGCCATTGGGGTCTCCTCCAACTCTAGGATTATATTATTCCTTTCTTTAGATGTTTAAGCAGAAGATAAATGGCCATCTGTTGGGAGGGCTTTTATTGTGCCTTCCTGATGTCAGAACTGGGTTGGATTGGATAATCTTTGGGGTCGCCTCCAACTCTAGGATTATATGATCCCTCTCTTTAGATGTTTAAGCAGAGGATGGATGGCCATCTGACGCGAGGGCTTTGATTGTGTCTTCCCAATGCAAAAACTGGGTTGGACTGTATAGCCATTGGGATCTCCTCCTACCCTAGGTTTATATTATCCCTCCCTTTAGATGTTTAAGCAGAGGATGGATGGCCATCTGCCAGGAAGGCTTTGATTGTGTCTTCCTGATGTCAGAACTGGGTTGGACTGAATAGTCATTGATGTCTCCTCCAACTCTAGGATTATATGATCCCTTTCTTTAGATGTTTAAGCAGAGGATAAATGGCCATCTGTCAGGAAGGCTTTTATTGTGTCTTCCTGATGTCAGAACTGGGTTGGACTGAATAGTCATTGATGTCTCCTCCAACTCTAGGATTATATGATCCTTCTCTTTAGATATTAAAGAAGAGGCTGAATGGCCACCTATCGGGAGGGCTTTGAATGTGTTTTTCTGATGTCAGAACTGGGTTGGACTGGGTAATCATTGGGGTCTCCTCCAACTCTAGTAGTATATGATCCCGCTTTTTAGATGTTTAAGCAGAGGATGGATGACCATCTGTCAGGAAGGCTTTGATTGTGTCTTCCTAATATCAGTATTGGGTTGGACTCGATAGCCACTGGGGTCTCCTCCAACTCTAGGATTATATGAGCCCTCTCTTTAGACCTTTAGGCAGAGGATGGATGGCTATCTGTTGGGAGGGCTTTGGTTGTCTCTTCCTGACCTCAGAACTGGGTTGGACTGGTTAAGCGTTGGGGTCTCCTCCAACTCTAGGATTATCTGATCCCTCTCTTTAGATGGATTGATGGCCATCTGTCGGGGCAGCTTTAATTGTGGTTTCCTGCCCGGTAGAATGGGGTTGGACTACGTGGTCCTTGGGGTCTCTTCTCTGACTATGATTCTATATAGGTTGATTTTGTAATAATAATAATAATAATAATAATAATAATAATAATAATAATAATATACTTTATTTATATTCCGCTCTATCAAGCTGAGGGGACTTAGAGCAGATTACAGAATACATATATGGCAAAAATTCAGTACCGTTATACAATTAACAAAGACAGACAGTACATAGACAGAGACAAGGCTTCTCCCTTTTTCATTTCCGACATTTGGTGTTGCACTCGAGACCAGGAAAAGCCCTCTGACTTTAAACACCACACAATTGAGTAGAAATGCAATCAGTTTATTGAAGATAATTAAAAAGCAGTAAAAGTAAAAAAGCACTTTAAAGGAATGGGTAAATCCAATTAGGTAGGAAGATAAGCCGGAACAAAATAGTCCAGGAAATTAATCCATCAAGGTTCATGAAAAACAAAGGCAGAAACTTCTATGGTAAAATCCAAAACACTGGAAACGGGAATCCAAGGCACTTAAACACATAATCATAAAATCCAATAATTAAAAACATAAATCAAAGGCACTTAAACATGAATCTTTCCAAAACAAGGCTTCCAAGGAACAGGGACGAGATCTTAACTTGATTCCAAATGATGCTTCATCTGACTACAGATCCTGTACTTGGGACTTTTATCTCCTCTCCAAGAGGCCAGAAATCGGTTTCGCTTTAGCCTTGAATCCCTTATCTTTCTTTCTCTGAGCTTGGCAGAACGCCTGAGACACTGATCTACTTTCCTATTCTGACTAATAACATCCCGTCTATCTATTTGCTCATTAAGCTGGGCCAGGTGCTGAGTTGTTTTCAAGCTCCAAATCATGGGAATTCTCTGGTAGCAATTCAGGGAGCCCATCATCATCCCCCACCCTTCAGGGACATTGTTATGAGAAAATACACTTAGAACAGGAATTGGTTTCGCTTTAGCCTTAAATCCCTTATCTTTCTTTCTCTGAGCCTGGCAGAACGCCTGAGACACTGATCTGCTTTCCTATTCTGACTAATAACATCCCGTCTATCTATTTGCTCATTAAGCTGGGCCAGGTGCGGAGCTGTTTTCAAGCTCCAAATCATGGGCATTCTCTGGTAGCAATTCAGGGACCACACCATCATCCCCCCACCCTTTAGGGACATTCTCATGAGAAAATACACTTTGAACAGGAATTGGTTTTGCTTTAGCCTTTAATCCCTTATCTTTCTTTATCCAAAAAATCCTGCAAATCTCTTCGGAAGACAGGCAGACAAATGTCAGCATGCTGGAAGAAGCAAAGACCACCAGCATTGAAGCGATGCTCCTCCACCATTAACTCCGCTGAAGTGAAGTCCACATTGTCCAAATGCACGATCATCATCTTCCCAAAGCAGTTACTATACTCCCAACTCAAGAACGGGAAACATAATGTTGGTGGGCAGGAAGAGAGATTGAAAGATGGGCTTAAAGCTAACCTTAAAAGCTGTGGCATACACACTGAGAACTTGGAAACCCTGGCTCTTGAGCGTTGGAACTGGAGGTCAGCTGCGACCAGCAGTGCTGCGGAATTTGAAAAGGCACAGATGGAGGGTGAAAGGGAAAAGGGGGTCAAGAGGAAGGCGTGTTGAGCCAACCCTGACCAGGACCACCTTCCACCTGGAAACCGATGTTCTCACTGCAGAAGAACATACAGATCAAGAGAGCCGTTCAGCAGTGGAACTCTCTGCCCTGGAGTGTGGTGGAGGCTCCCTCTTTGGAAGCTTTTAAACAGAGGCTGGATGGCCATCTGTCAGGGGTGCTTTGAACGCAATATTCCTGCTTCTTGGCAGAATGGGGTTGGACTGGATGGCCCATGATATCTTTTCCAACTATATTATTTATGATTCTCTGATTCTAATAGGGCTCCACAGTCAACTAGGTTTCCACCACCAAGACGGAAGGTTGGTGGACAGGAGAAGAGATTAAAACCAACCTTAAAAACTGTGGCGTGGACACTGAGAGAGAACTGAGAAGCCCTGGCCCTTGAGCGCTCTAACTGGAGGTCAGCTGTGACCAGCAGTGCTGCGGAATTCGAAGAGGCAGGAATGGAGGGAGAAACGGGCTAAGAGGAAGGTGCATTAAGCCAACCTGAAAGAGCATGCGGGTCAATAATAGGGCTCTATAGTCACCCACCCACTTGGAAGGCCATCATCCTCAGACAACGAGGGATCGCCTAAGTAAGTACCCAAGAGAGTCTGATGTTGCATATTGACAAATGGGATAATTGTAATGTTTCATAGAATCATAGAATCAAAGAGTTGGAAGAGACGCCATGGGCCATCCAGTCCAACCCCATTCTGCCAAGAAGCAGGAATATTGCATTCAAATCACCCCTGACAGATGGCCATCCAGCCTCTGTTTAAAAGCTTCCAAAGAAGGAGCCTCCACCACACTCCGGGCAGAGAGTTCCACTGCTGAACGGCTCTCACAGTCAGGAAGTTCTTCCTCATGTTCAGATGGAATCTCCTCTCTTGTAGTTTGAAGCCATTGTTCCATTGCGTCCTAGTCTCCAAGGAAGCAGAAAACAAGCTTGCTCCCTCCTCCCTGTGGCTTCCTTTCACATATTTATACATGGCTATCATATCTCCTCTCAGCCTTCTCTTCTTCAGGCTAAACATGCCCAGCTCCTTAAGCCGCTCCTCATAGGGCTTGTTCTCCAGACCCTTGATCATTTTAGTCGCCCTCCTCTGGACACATTCCAGCTTGTCAACATCTCTATTGAATTGTGGTGCCCAGAATTGGACACAATATTCCAGGTGTGGTCTAACCAAAGCGGATAGAGCATGGGGAGCATGACTTCCCTAGATCTAGACACTATGCTCCTATTGATGCAGGCCAAAATCCCATTGGCTTTTTTTGCCGCCACATCACATTGTTGGCTCATGTTTAACTTGTTGTCCACGAGGACTCCAAGATCTTTTTCACACGTATTGCTCTCGAGCCAGGCATCGTCCCCCATTCTGTATCTTTGCATTTCGTTTTTTCTGCCTAAGTGGAGTCTCTTGCATTTGTCCCTGTTGAACTTCATTTTGTTAGTTTTGGCCATTCATCTCTCTAATCTGTCAAGATCGTTTTGAATCCTGCTCCTGTCCTCTGGAGTCTTGGCTCTCCCTCCAATTTGGTGTCATCTGCAAACTTGATGATCGGAACAGTTATTTTCTGAGGAAGGAAAATACAATCAAGGACACAACACAAGCAAATGATATAATACAAACGGGATTTAATAAAGGCTTCCAACCAGGCAACAGTCTTGGGTTAGAGAAGGCAAACTGAGCAATTCTTGAAATGCAATATATACATGCATTGATGTTCCACAATTCCATAGTATTGAGTCAGGGCGGTTCAAGTGTTGTCAAAGCGCATTAATTCTACAGTGTCCTCAAACTACGGCCCGGGGGCCGGATGCGGCCCTCCAAGGTCATTTACCCGGCCCTCGCTCAGGGTCAACCTAAGTCTGAAACGACTTGAAAGCACACAACAACAACAACAACTGTGCTGTCACGTGCTGGGCCCGTAATAATTGTCTTTTGAACAGGACATGCACTTTGTGCCCAGAGGGAAGCCAGGGTGCCTCGATAGAGAGGCTCTAAGGATTTTCCTCTGGAAGAGTCTTTAGAGGCTTGAAAGGTTTAACAAAGTCCTTTATTATTGAACAAATTAAACAAATACGTCTTCAATCTTCAACGACAATCACACAAATGACTGGCGGCTTTCTTTATCTTGTCCACAAGGGACAGGCAACTGGCTTTGAGAACTGTTTCTTTTCTTTTGAAAGGAAAACACTTTTTAACCTCTCCCAGGCAATCTACTATCTAGGCTTTCCTGATGTGGGTCCTACTACCGGTTCCAAACTACGTCTTGGGTCCCGAGTAGACCTACCAGTCAAGGCTTTGTAAATTCTCCAGCTGGAGTTCTTTGGGTCTGCAAAACTGTTTCCCCCGAATGCTGTAAGGCTGAGAGGCTGTAAGTTCCCAGCCAGAGCTTTGGGACTATTTCTCCCCGGAAGCTGTTTCCCCCAAAATTGTAGGAAATGAAGCTTTTCTGCAGGTGGAGCTGGTCCACGTCCTGTAGCTTAATTTCCTTCTGTAAGACTGGACTAAAAATGGCTCCCTCTCCTCCCAGGGCCCTGGGGAAAGGGGCGGAACCAAAACTTAACAATGATTGATGGGTCATTGGCCCTATAATTGCAAACCAAGGGAAGTCACCTTTGCAGAATTCCCGAAACGTTGGAATGCATGCAGATATTTAATAGAAAGAAAAATGAAATTGGAGCTCCTGGTACAGCCGTACCAGCACAACAACAACAATCCTATCTCATCAGCCAAAAGCAGGCGCACACTTACCATTGAAATACTAATAAGTTTAGATTTGCTAAAATTGTTCTTCATTTTAATTATTGTATTGTTTTTAAGTGTTTTTGCACTACAAATAAGACATAGGAATTCATTCATTGGATTTTTTTTTTCAAATTATAATCCGTCCCTCCAACAGTTTGAGGGACTGTGACCTGGCCCTTTGTTTAAAACAGTGTTTCTCAACCTTTCTAATGCCGTGACCCCTAAATGAAGTTCCTCATGTTGTGGTGACCCCCCACCATATTTTCATTGCTACTTCATAACGGTAATTTTGCTACTCTTATGAAGCATAATGGAAATATCTGACATGCAGGATGTTGTGACGATGTGTACGTTTTATTTCTTTGGTTATGTGTAGTTTGGACAGTGGTTTAGGGATGGTAAGTATGGGAGATTATGTTTTGTGGGAGATGGTGGTTTGGCGTTAGCTGAGTTGCCATAGCAACAGGGGCGGAGCCAACTGCCTCTTGAGGAGGCAGCTATTTTAAAAAATCAGTCAGTACGCCGGTGAGCTACTGAGAGGACTGAGTCTCTGGGTGGGGATTCAGGGAATCAATTGGTGACCAAAGTAGTTGCAGAGAAGGACCCGGTAGTGAGAGAGCTACAGGGGGTTGTTGATTCTAAATTAAGAATCAAAGTTTGGCTGGGTTTAAGCCTGCTGTGCCTGCTGTGAAACGTTTTGAAGTCTGTGCCTGGGATTACTCATGAAACCTTTCTAACCATCAAGATTTGTGCCTCTTTTGAAGAAACAGTTAAACATGTTATACTCCTGTTAAAATAAACTTGTTACTGTTCTCCTCAAGCCTTGCCTGATACAGTTTCTCCTAAGTTGAACAGCCTGCAATAGTAAAGTCAAGCCAGGAAAGGAAACGCTACGCTATCAAATAAACAAAGCCTTCTGTAATTCACAGTCCCTTTATAAGATAGCTCCTAGGTTGATATTGATCGTTGCCTGGCTTCCCTCATAGATTAGGTGGCAGTGGGTGTTTTACCACTCGCACCTTCACATTTGGTGGCATTCGGTGGCATTAAAACAGTCTCCTTTACAGATGTATTTTCATTGTTACAAATTGAACATAATTAAAGCATAGTGATTGATCACAAAAACAATATGCTCGGGGAGTATGGACAATGGATGATGGGATTTGCAGTACCTTCAACCGATTCAGCTCTGACTTCCACAGACCACGGAGACCCTCACAAATTATAGACCTGGAACAAACTTGGCACACAGAACCCCAATGGCCAACAGAAAATACCGGAGGGGGTTGGGAGGAATAGATAATGATTTTTGGGAGATGTAGTTCACCTACATACGGAGAGCACTGTGAAACCAAACGACTGTGCATTTGCACCAAGGTAAAGGTAAAGGTTGTCCCCTGACATTAAGTCCAGTCATGTCTGACTCTGGGGTGTGGTGCTCATCTCCATTTCTAAGCCGAAGAGCCGGCGTTGTCCATAGACACCTCCAAGGTCATGTGGCCAGCATGACTACATGGAGCGCCGTTACCTTCCCACCTGAGCGGTACCTATTGATCTACTCACATTTGCATGTTTTCGAACTGCTAGGTTGGCAGAAGCTAGGGCTGACAGCGGAAGCTCACGCCGCTCCCCGGAATCGAACCTGTGACCTTTCGATCAACAAGCTCAGCAGCTCAGTGCTTTAACCCACTGCGCCACTGGGGGCTCCTTGGACCAAACTTGGTACAAATACTCAATATGCCCAAATATGAACACTGGTGGAGTTTGGGGAAAACAGATCTTAACAATTGGTCGTTGCAGTTGCTGGGATGTATAGTTCACTTGCCATCAAAGAGCATTCTGAACTCCAACAACAATGTAATTGAACCAAACTTGGCACACAGAACTCCCATTACCAACAGAAAATACTGGAGAGGTTTGGGGAAAATAGACCTTGGCATTTGGGAGCTACTGGGATGTATAGTTCCCTTGCCATCAAAGAGCATTCTGAACTCCACCAACGATGGAATTGAACCAAACTTGGCACACAGAACTCCCTTTACCAACAGAAAATACTGGAGAAGTTTGGGGGAAATAGACCTTGGCATTTGGGAGCTACTGGGATGTATAGTTCCCTTGCCATCAAAGAGCATTCTGAACTCCACCAACGATGGAATTGAACCAAACTTGGCACACCGAACTCCCATTACCAATAGAAAATACTGGAGAGGTTTGGGGAAAATAGACCTTGGCATTTGGGAGCTACTGGGATGTATAGCTCCCCTGCCACCAAGGAGCATTCTGATCTCCAGCATAAATAGCAAGGGCTGGGCAGAAAGGCTGCCCGCACGACCTTGCAATTTGGGCAGCCCTCCGCCTGGGCCCCATGCCCTTCCGAGCTGGGAAAGGTGCGGGAGCTGGGCGGAGTGCTAGCTTTTTGTCTGGCACAGGGGGTCGGCAGCCATTTTGGAGGGGGCGGAGCCAACAACCCCCCGAAAATGGCCCAACGACCCCTCTGGGGGTCACGACCCCCAGGTTGAGAACCGCTGGTTTAAAAAGTTTAAGGACCCCTGGTGTAGTTGGAAGTTGCAGGATTGTGGATTCGTTCTGAGGTTGGACTAGATGACCTTTGGGATCCCTTTTGACCCTGTCCTTCCACAACTCCATTATAAATACCAGTATATATTGTTTCCCGACAAAACAAAGGCAGTCGTTTGGTGTGTCATTTGGGTTTTTTTTATATCCCTTGTAAAGCATTATTGAATATATTACTATAGCCATCGTGCGGATTGTTTGTTTACGACGGATCCTATTTGTCACTACTTGCATGCATTTTGCTTATCTGGAGGGCCCTTTGCTTTATTCGTTTGACCCCAGAGAGAAGGACAAACAGTATGTTGGTTGACTATCCCATCTCCGCAATGTCCAGAATGTATTTTTTCCGGATGTTTGGAATATTTAAAATATATCAGCAGGCCTCTCTGAAAAGCACCTTGTCCTGGGTTTGGAGCAGGATTTTCTCCTGGGCAAATTCTTCCTTGTTCTTCTTTCTGGCTCTTTTGAAGGAAAAAGAAAGAAAATTCAGTCATCGGGTCAAATCAAGACTATCTTTCATTTGCTTTCATTCATCATTTCAATTAATATGCCAATCCATCCACCCATCATTCCAATTAAGGTTCATCCTACGCCTGCTTTCATCAATCATCCCAATTAATATTAACACCTGTCTTGGATTGTTAGTATTATTAGTATAGTTAGTATTATTAGTATTTTATTTATTTATTTTTATTATTAGTAGTAATAGTAGGTAAAGGTAAAGGTAGTCCCCTGACATTAAGTCCAGTCATGTCTGACTCTGGGGTGTGGTGCTCATCTCCATTTCTAAGCCGAAGAGCCGGTGTTGTCCGTAGACACCTCCAAGGTCATGTGGCCGGCATGACTGCATGGAGCGCCGTTACCTTCCCGCCGGAGCGGTACCTATTGATCTACTCACATTTGCATGTTTTCGAACTGCTAGGTTGACAGAAGCTAGGGCTGACAGCGGAAGCTCACGCCGCTCCCCGGAATCGAACCTGCGACCTTTCGATCAACAAGCTCAGCAGCTCAGTGCTTTAACCCACTGCGCCACCGGGGGCTCCAGTAGTAATAGTAATTATTACTATTAATAACAATAATAGTATTAACACTTCCATCTTGTCTTTACTAATAATATAATATAGTATATTGTATATACATATAATGTTTATAATATTATAATGTAGTACAATATAATACTAGTAATAATAATTCAATATTATAATTATAATATATTTACATTACATGTCATATTACTAATAATAATACAATATAATTATTAGTACAATATTAGTACAATATATGACTTTTGTCTGTTGGAGCTAGGTGTGAATGTTTCAGCTGACCACCTCACCTAGATTTACACCTAGCTCCAACAGACAAAAGTCCTTTGTCTCACCCTGGTCATTCCACAGATATATAAACCCATTTTCCTAGTTCCAACAGACCTCTACCTCTGAGGATGCTTGCCATAGATGCAGGCGAAACGTCAGGAGAAAAATTGCCATATAGCCCGGAAAAACCTACAATAACCCAGTGATTCCGGCCATTCAAGCCTTCGACAATACAACAAACTAGACATTCTCACGGAATCTGTGAGAAGACCTTGAAGTCCAGGTGTGTTCGGCATGATGTCATGGGTGCCTTGAAGGGCTTAAATTAAGTGGTTTGGCTTCAAGACTCTCAGAGGAGACAACGTTGCCATAGGAGATGACTCTCCTGTCTCTGCTCTCAAGTTTATGATTCAAGTATGCTTAAGATTCCTGGTCTGGTTCATGTCTTTGTTTCCTTGGAGGGTTTACCTTCATGTTTACATGCTTACGGATTTATGTTTGAAGTACTGCTGTGGATTTTGGTTCTCTAGACTTTATGCTCTTTGTCATTTTTGGATTACCGTTTGTGATGATGTGTAATTTTTATTCTTATGATGTGTTGTTTAAACAGTAGGTAATAAATGGTAAGTATGTAGGATTATATTTTGTTAGAGATAGTGGCTGGTTTGGCTTGAGCTGAGTTGCCATAGCAACGGGGGCGGAGCCAACTGTCACTTCACGGGGCAGCTGTTTGAAAGTGGCAGTCTGTGACCGGTAGAGTTACAGGGAAGACTGATTTCTCTAGTGGGAGAAACAGGGAACTAGTCTGTGACCGGTAGAGTTACAGGGAAGACTGATTTCTCTAGTGGGAGAAACAGGGAACTAGTCTGTGACCGGTAGAGTTACAGGGAAGACTGATTTCTCTAGTGGGAGAAACAGGGAACTAGTCTGTGACCGGTAGAGTTACAGGGAAAACTGATTTCTCTAGTAGGAGATACAGGGAACTAGTCTGTGACCGGTAGAGTTACAGGGAAGACTGATTTCTCTAGTAGGAGATACAGGGAACTAGTCTGTGACCGGTAGAGTTACAGGGAAGACTGATTTCACTAGTGGGAGAAACAGGGAACTAGTCTGTGACCAGTAGAGTTACAGGGAAGGCTGATTTCACTAGTGGGAGAAACAGGGAACTAGTCTGTGACCGGTAGAGTTACAGGGAAGACTGATTTCTCTAGTGGGAGAAACAGGGAACTAGTCTGTGACCGGTAGAGTTACAGGGAAGACTGATTTCTCTAGTGGGAGAAACAGGGAACTAGTCTGTGACCGGTAGAGTTACAGGGAAGACTGATTTCACTAGTGGGAGAAACAGGGAACTAGTCTGTGACCGGTAGAGTTACAGGGAAGACTGATTTCTCTAGTGGGAGAAACAGGGAACTAGTCTGTGACCGGTAGAGTTACAGGGAAGACTGATTTCTCTAGTGGGAGAAACAGGGAACTAGTCTGTGACCGGTAGAGTTACAGGGAAGACTGATTTCTCTAGTGGGAGAAACAGGGAACTAGTCTGTGACCGGTAGAGTTACAGGGAAGACTGATTTCTCTAGTGGGAGAAACAGGGAACTAGTCTGTGACCGGTAGAGTTACAGGGAAGACTGAAATCTCTAGGTGGAGATTCAGGGAACTAATTTGTGACCAAAAGGGCTACAGGAAAGGACCCAGTAGTGATAAAACTACAGGGGATTATTGATTCTGGGTTAAGAATCAAGGTTTGGCTGGGAGCCAATTCTGTTAAATAAGCCTTTTAGCTTATTTGTTTTATTAGGACAGTTGTCCAGGAAAGATACATCTGCTTACAGAAACCTCTTAAAGTCTTTGCCTGAGATTACTCATGAAACCTTTCCAATGTAACCATCAAGCTTTGTGCCTCTTTTGAAGAACAGTTATACATTGTTATACTCCTGTTGAAATAAACCTGTTACTGTTTTCCTCAAGCCTTCCTGATACAGTTTCTCCTAAGTTGAACAGCGAATCAAAGAGTTGGAAGAGACCTCATGGGCCAACCAGTCCAACCCCATTCTGCCAAGAAGCAGGAATATTGCATTCAAATCACCCCTGACAGATGGCCATCCAGCCTCTGTTTAAAAGCTTCCAAAGAAGAAGCCTCCGCCACACTCCAGGGCAGAGAGTTCCACTGCTGAAACGGCTCTCACAGTCAGGAAGTTCTTCCTAATATTCAGATGGAATCTCCTTTCTTGTAGTTTGAAGCCATTGTTATTTGAGTCCTAGTCTCCAGGGAAGCAGAAAACAAGCTTTCTCCCTCCTCCCTGTGACTTCCTCTCACATATTTATACATGGCTATCATATCTCCTCTCAGCCTTCTCTTCTTCAGGCTAAACATGCCCAGCTCTTTAAGCCGCTCCTCATAGGGCTTGTTCTCCAGACCCTTGATCATTTTATTTGAGTCGCCCTCCTCTGGACACATTCCAGCTTGTCAATATCTCTCTTGAATTGTTGCCCAGAATTGGACACAATATTCCAGATGTGGTCTAACCAAAGCAGAATAGAGGGGTAGCATTCTCCCAAGTCAAACAGCCTGCATAAGAAGTAAAACCAAACCAGGGACAGAAAACGCTACGCTATCAAATGAATCAATCCTTCTGTAATTAATAGTCCCTTTATAAACTAGCTCCTAAGCTGATATTGATCATTGCCCAGCTTTCCTCACAAATTTGGTGGCAGTAATTTTACCCTCCTTTACACCGTTATTTTGTATTTGGCCTGGCATAGACACACATCATGCCAACTCTTTGGCTAGATTCTCTTATTGCCAAACAATGCAATTTCCAGACTGTGCTCACCTGTTCTCCACATCCTCGATGGTATCCGGGAGCGGGATGTTCAGGGTCTCGGGAAGGAAGCAGGCCACCATGCCCGACAAGATAGGCACGGCCCCATAGACGATGGGCGGCAGGTGGAAATAGTAGTCCTCCATCATCTTGGCCAGCGGGGCTACGATGCCTCCTACCCGGGCCATGGTGCTACCGAAACCCAGCCCAGTCTGCCTGGGGAAGAAAAGGCGGTGCAGTGTAGTGGCTATAGGCTTGGCCTTGGGAGATCTAGTTCGGCCATTGAGCTATTTATTATTATTTTTATTTAAAACATTTATATTCCGCCCTTCTCACCCCGAAGGGGACTCAGGGCGGGGAACAGCATATACACGGCAAACATTCAATGTCGGGACACAAATTCACATACACATACATAAACATTAAAAAATATTTATCAAAATATTAAAATACACCAGTCAAAGCCTAATACAACTGCCTAAGCCAAAACCAAGGTTACAACAACATCTCTTATAGAACTCCAATATGCTGATGATAATGTCGTCTGTGCGCATTCAGAAGAAGATCTGCAAGCCACTCTAAACACCTTTGCAGAAGCATACGAGAAGCTTGGCCTGTCACTGAACATCAAGAAAACCAAAGTGCTGTTCCAGCAGTCACCAGCCATCCCCTCCCCAATGCCAGTGATACAGCTTAATGGTGTAACATTAGAAAATGTGGACCATTTCCGCTCCCTTGGCAGCCACCTCTCCACCAAAGTCAACATCGACACCGAAATACAACACCGCCTGAGCTCTGCCAGTGCAACATTTTCCCGAATGAAGCAGAGAGTGTTTGAGGACCGGGACATCCATAGGGAGACCAAGGTGCTTGTCTATAAAGCTATTGTCCTCCCAACCCTGCTCTATGCCTGCGAAACGTGGACTGTCTACAGACGTCACATGCAACTCCTGGAACGATTACATCAGCGCCGCCTCCGGAAAATCCTGCAAATCTCTTGGGAAGACAAGCGGACAAACGTCAGCGTGCTGGAAGAAGCAAAGACCACCAGCATTGAAGCGATGGTCCTCCAACATCAACTCCGCTGGGCCGGCCACGTTGTCCAGATGCCTGACCACCGTCTCCCAAAGCTTAAGAACAGAAACTTAAGAACAGAAAACGGAACGTTGGTGGACAGGAAAAGAGATTTAAAGATGGCCTCAAAGCCAACCTTAAAATCTCTGGCATAGACACTGAGAACTGGGAAGCCCTGGCCCTTGAGCGCTCCAGCTGGAGGTCAGCTGTGACCAGCAGTGCTGCAGAATTCGAGGAGGCACGAGTGGAAGGTGAAAGAGAGAAACGTGCCCGGAGGAAGGCGCGTCAAGCCAACCCCGACCGGGACCGCCTTCCACCTGGAAACCGATGCCCTCACTGTGGGAGAAGATGCGGGTCAAGAATAGGGCTCCATAGCCACCTACGAACCCACAGGGAAACGCATAATGGAAGACCATCTTACTCGTCCAACGAGGGATCGCCTAAGTAAGTAAGTAAGTAAGTAAGGTGCACATTCAGGTCTTTCATGGAAGTTCGTCTTGCTGCTGCAGTGGGAAGCTAGCTTCAATCTGGATTAAATGGTCAGTGTAGCCTTCGTCAAAGCATTGCCATGAGGATATAATAAACAGCAAAGCTGTTCTATGGGGCAGCTTGAGTCAGCATAGACCCATATATAATGTAGCTTGAGATACATTGAATGGCATTATATAGGTCTATTCCAGGCATGGGCAAATTTGGGCCCTCCAGGTGTTTTGGACTTCAACTCCCATAATTCCTAACAGCCGGTAGGCTGTTAGGAATTGTGGGAGTTGAAGTCCAAACTCCTGGAGGGCTGAAGTTTGTCCGTGCCTGTTCTAGGCTTGGATATTCTTTTTGGATGGCAATTCCCAGCATCCTGAGATTCTGGGAGCAACAACCCCTAAAGGCAACAACTGGGTGGAAAGAGACAAAAAACAGACCTTATGTGTGTGTGCAAATTCAAATAGCCTGAATTTCATAGGCAAGGAATGCTCAGAGATGGTGGCAACAGAGCTCGCTGCAACTGGTATGACTTGGTGAACTCCCACCCAAGTCTGAACCAGGGCAGGCCCTGCTTAGCTCACATAAACAAAGGACGTTTGGTGACTTTAGGGCACCATGAAGCCTATAGGGACTTTCCTGGGTAAAGAACAATCAGAAATGGTTGAAACAGAGCTCACTGCACTTGTCGGACTCCCATCCAGGTACCAACCAGGGCTGGCCCTGCTTAGCTCACATAAACAAAGGGTGTTTGGTGACTTTAGAGCACCATGAAGCCCATAGGGACATTCCCAGGTAAAGAACAATCAGAAATGGTTGAAACAGAACTCGCTGCATTTGTCAGACTCCCATCCAGGTACCAACCAGGGCTGGCCCTGCTTAGCTCACATAAACAAAGGGCGTTAGGAATTGAAATCCGAAACGGCTGGAGGGCCCAAGTTTGCCCATGCCTGGTGTAGATGCACCCCAAATTTTTAATATGACCCAAGGTCTCATTCTTGGAAGTTATAAAATAATAATAATAATAATAATAATAATAATAATAATAATAATAATATTTATTTCCGGGTTTTAATATATTATTATTATTATTATTATTATTATTATTATTATTATTATTATTTAATTATATAATATTAATATATAGAATAAAGACTCTGGCACAGGCCAGTCAAGGTGGTCCCAATGGTGATCAGCACACTGGGTGCAGTGCCTAAAGACCTTGGCCTGCACCTAAACACAATCAGCGCTGACAAAATTACCATCTGCTAGCTGCAAAAGGCTACCTTACTGGGATCTGCACACATTATTTGCTGATACAACACACAGTCCTCGACACATGGGAAGTGTCCGATGTGTGATCCAATACAACAGCCAGTAGAGTCTCTGCTGTGGACTCATCTTGTGTTTCTAATAATAATACTAATTATTATTATTATTATTATTATTATTATTATTATTATTATTATTATTATTAAATGGGCCGTGAACCAGAAAGCTGCAGTTTTAGCCCAACTTTAATCTCTTTGCAATGTTGTGATATTTTTTCTCCTACGGTTTGCTCGGAATGAAAATGAGGTGATGGCTTTGATGATATTGTGTCCCCCCTTTCAAGCGCCGGGACCAAATTAGTCCATTCATTCATCCGGTTCTAGGCGTCACTACCACTTCCCGGTGCCAAAGCCCCTCAATTTCCTTTTGGCCGCTTCCAGGAAAAGGAAATATTCCATGGTTACCTAGCAATTGCTTTCATCCGGACGACTGCACCAGGCGGGGAAGGCGACTCGGTGGTAGAGCCAACCGGGGGGTGATACAAGTAAAGAAATGCCCCTTTTGTAGCCCCCAAAGAGTCAGGAAATAGCTAGGAAAAGGCGTTTGGAATGGGTTCCTCACCTGACAGGTGTTGGGTAGAGTTCCGTCGTGAACAAGAAGGTGCAGTTGAAGGCAGCTGATAAGCATCCTTTCCCAATGACGGCCAGCGCTGTCCGGACTGTTTGAAGCTCTTTTGAGAGTAAAAGAAAACAAAGGACATGATTTGAACCCAGCTCCCAACACGGCAATGCATTCCAATGGCAGGAAAAGGGAAAGAAGGAAGGAAGGAGAGAAGGAAGGAAGGGTAGAGAAGGAAGGAAGGAGAGAAAGAGGGAAAGAAGGAGGGAAGGGGAGAAGGAAGGAAGGAAGGAAAGAAGGGTAGAGAAGGAAGGAAGGAGAGAAAGAAGGAAAGAAGGAAGGAAGGAAGGAAGGAAGGAAGGAAGGAAGGAAGGAAGGAGAGAAGGAAGGAAGGAAAAAAGGGTAGAGAAGGAAGGAAGGAGAGAAAGAAGGAAAGAAGGAGGGAAGGAGAGAAGGAAGGAAGGAAGGAAAGAAGGTAGAGAAGGAGGAAGAGAGAAGGAGGGAAAGAAAGGGAAAAGGAGGAAGAGAAAGAAAGGAGAAGGAGGAAGGAGGAAGAAGAAAGAAGGGAAAGAAGGAAGGAAGGGGAAGAAGAGGAAGAAGGAGGGAAGGAGAGAAAGAAAGGAAAGAAGGGAGAGAAGGAAGAAGGAAGGAAAGAAAGAGTAAGAAGGAAGGAAGGAGAGAAGGAGGAGAGAAGGAGAGAAAGGAGGAGGGAAGGAGAGAAAGAAGAAAGAAAGAAGAGTAGAGAAGGAAGGCGAGAAAGAAGAGTAGAGACTGAAGGAGAAGGAGGGAGAGAAGGAGGGAAGGAGAGAAGGAAAGAAAGAAGGGTAGAGAAGGAAGGAAGGAAGGAGAGAAGGAGGGAAAGGAGAAGGAGGAAAGAAAGAGGGAAGGAGAAAGGAAAGAAAGAAAGTAGAGAAGGAAGGAGAGAAGGAGAAAAAGTGAAAGAGGGAAGGAAGGAGAGGAAAGAAGAGAAGGAGGAAGGAAGGAGAAAGAGAAGGAAGGAAGGAAGGAAGGAAGGAAGGAAGGAAGGAAGGAAGGAAGGAAGGAGACAAGGAAGGATGGAACCAAAGAGCAAAGGAAGAGAGAAAAGAAACAGGTAGAGAAGGAAGAAAGAAGAAGGGAAAGAAAAAGAGGGAGGAAGGAAAGAGGGAGGGAAAGGAGAGAAAGAAAGAAGGAGAGAAAGAGGGAGGGAAGGTTGGCCACAACAACGTGTGGCAGGTATAGCTAGTAAATCAATCAATCAATCAATAAACCTCAAATAGTGTCTGAGACCAGATGAGAAAGCCCATCCTGAGCTCACAGAATGATGGGCAACTTGGAAGGAGCTGAATAGGCTGCGCTTTGGTACCATGAGATGCAGAGACAATCTGGGGAGCAGGGGGAGCTCTTACTGTTAGCACCAGCTTCTTCCAACCTAGCAGTTCGAAAACATGCATCGATGGCAAGCATCCTCACTACCTCTGAGGATGCTTGCCATAGATGCAGGCGAAACATCAGGAGAGAATGCCTCTAGAACATGGCCATATAGCTCGAAAAAACCTACAACAACCCTATTATTATTATTATTATTATTATTATTATTATTATATCTGTGGCACAAACTAGTCAAGGTGATCCCAGTGGTGATAATAATGAAAGACTCTGGCTCAAGCCAGTAAAGGTGGTCCCAGTGGTGATTGGGACACTGGGTGCAGCGCCTAAAGACCTTGGCCTGCACTTAAAAACAAACAGCGCTTTTTAAAAAATCAGCTGCAAAAGACCACTCTGCACACATTATTTGCCGATACATCACACAGTTCTAGACACTTGGGAAGTGTCCGACATGTGGGGAGGATAGACCTTGACATTTGGGAGTTGTAGTTGCTGGGATTTATAGTTCACCTACAACCAAAAAGCATTCTGAACTCCACCAACGATGGAATTAAATCAAACTTGGCACACAGAACTCCCATGACCAACAGAAAATATTGGAAGGGTTTGGTGGGCATTGACCTTGAGTTTGGGAATTGTAGTTCACCTACATCCAGAGAGCACTGTGGATTCAAATAATGATGGATCTGGACCAAACTGGACACAAATACTCAATATGCCCAATTATGAACACTGGTGGAGTTTGGGGAAAATAGACCTTGACATTTGGGAGTTGTAGTTGCTGGGATTTATAGTTCACTTACAATCAAAGAGCATTCTAAACTCCGCCAACGATGGAATTGAACCAAACTTGGCACACAGAACTCCCATGACCAACAGAAAATACTGGAAGGGTTTGATGGGCATTGACCTTGAGTTTGGGAGTTGTAGTTCACTTACATCCAGAGAGCACTGTGGACTCAAATAATGATGGATCTACACCAAACTTGGCATGAATACTCAATATGCTCAATTATGAACACTGGTGGAGTTTGGGGAAAACAGACCTTGACATTTGGGAGTTGTAGTTGCTGGGATTTATAGTTCACTTATAATCAAAGAGCACTCTGAACTCCACGAACGATGGATTTGAACCAAACTTGGCACACAGAACTCTCATGACCAACAGAAAATATTGGAAGGGTTTGGTGGGCATTGACCTTGAGTTTGGGAGTTGTAGTTCACTTACATCCAGAGAGCACTGTAGACTCAAAACAATGATGGATCTGGACCAAACTTAGCATGGATATTCAATATGCCCAATTATGAACACTGGTAGAGTTTGGGGAAAATAGACCTTGACATTTGGGAGTTGTAGTTGCTGGGATTTATAGTTCACGGTAATATAGCTATCCCCCCTCCCCCCCAGATGTGTTTGTTATCTGCAGAATTGAGAAGCCAGCCCTCTATTCCCATTGTCCAAGGCATATTTTAGTCAACAAGACTCACCGGTGGGCACGAATATATTGATGATGATGATGAGGCCGGCTAAGATGAGGAAGGAGGAGAGACTGAACCGCCGGCCGATGTAGCTCATGGTGATGGTCACAACCACCTTGGCGGGGAAGTCAACGGCCCCAAAGATCACCTGGATCAGGTAGATGCTGACCCCAAAGTTCTGCAGGTCCATCGCCAGACCATAGTAGGAAAAGCTCACCGAAAACCTGCCACGGGAAAGAGAAAATCATGTTTTTTGGTCACGGACAGCCTTCTTCTACTTCAACCAGTCCAAGCCAATAGGTCCGAATACTTCGGCTTCTATGGGGTCGGTCTTTCTTACCACACCACGGAGAGGCAACAGAAAATGCGCCTGATGGTTGGGGTGCGCACCAAGTCAGAGATGGTGTAGGAGGCCTTGGTGACCGCCAGCTCTTTCTCCATGTTCAATAGCAGGATCTGCCAAAGAGAGAGCGGGAAAGTGGGAAAGGAGGGCCAGAATGGCTATCGGGATTTAAATCATGCAGTGTAGATGCACTCATGGACCTTGAGAAACTGCAATTCCCAAGACCATCTCATGGAGGCATGGAAATTAAAGTAAAGTCCAACTGCAGTCATTCCACAGTGTAGATGCACCCAGAGAAGGGTATGGACCTTGGGAAACTATAACTCTTCCTAATATTTCGGTGGAATCTCTTTTCCTGCAATTTAAATCAATCAGTGTCGATGCACCAAGAGAAGGTTCAAGGACCATGGGAAACTGCAATTCCCAAGACCATCTCATGGAGAAATAGCATTTAAAGTAAGGTCCAACTGCAGTCATTCCACAGTGCAGATGAACCCAGAGAAGGGTATGGACCTTGGGAAACTATGACTCCCAGGAGGACTCCATCACATGAAGCCATGGCATTTTAAGTTTGGTGCAAGGGTATTCATTCCATACTGTTAATGCACCCAGAGGTAAGAGTATGGACCTTGGGAAACTATAACTCCCAGGAGGACTCCATCGCATGGAGCCATGGTATTTTACGTTTGGTGCAAGGGTATTCATTCCATCCTGTAAATGCACCCAGAGAAGGGTATGGACCTTGGGAAACTATAACTCCCAGGAGGACTCCTTGCATGGAGTCATGTCATTTTAAGTGGGGTGCAAGGGCATTCATTCGATCCTGTAAATGCACCCAGAGAAGGGTATGGACCTTAGAAAACTATGACTCCCAGGAGGACTTTATCGCATGGAGCCATGGTATTTTAAGTGGGGTACAAGGGAATTCATTCCATACTGTAAATGCACCCAGAGAAGGGTATGGACCTTGGGAAACTATAACTCCCAGGAGGACTCCATCGCATGGAGCCATGACATTTTAAGTGGGGTGCAAGGACATTCATCCCATACTGTAAATGCACCCAGAGAAGGGTATGGACCTTGGGAAACTATGATTCCCAGGAGGACTCCATCACATGGAGCCATGGCCACCTACAGACTCACAAGAATTCTGATCCTGGAAGACTATCCTACTCGGCCAACGAGGGATCACCTAAGTAAGTAAAAGTAAGTAAGACACCCAGAGTAGGGTATGGATCTTGGGAAACTATAACTCCCAGGAGGACTCCATCACATGGAGCCATGGAATTTTAAGTGGGGTGCAAGGGTATTCATTCCATCCTGTAAATGCACCCAGAGAAGGGTGTGGACTTTGGGAAACTATAACTCCCAGGAGGACTCCATTTCCTGGAGCCATGGCATTTTAAGTGGGGTGCAAGGGCATTCATTCCATACTGTAAATGCACCCAAAGAAAGGTATGGACCTTGGGAAACTATAACTCCCAGGAGAACTCCGTTATATGGAACCATGGCATTTTAAGCAGGGAGCAAGGGCATTCATTCCACAGTGTAGATGCACCAAGAGAAGGATTTGGACCTTAGAAAACTATGGCTCCCAGGACTGCACAGCATGGAGACATGGAATAATAATAATAATAATAATAATAATAATAATAATAATAATAATAATCCAGGACTCAAAGTGTGCAATTCCCAAGACCATTGCATGGAGACATGGCATGATAATGATGATGCAAAGACTCTGGCACAAGCCAATCAAGGTGGTCCCAGTGGTGATCGGCACACTGGGTGCAGTGCCTAAAGACCTTGGTCTGGACTTAAGGACAATCGGCACTGACAAAATTACCATCTGTCAGCTGCAAAAGGGTGATAATAATAATGCAAAGACCCTGGCACAAGCCAGTCAAGGTAGTCCAAGTGGTGATGGGCACACTGGGTGCAGTGCCTAAAGACCTTGGCTTGGACTTAAACACAATCGGCACTGACAAAATTACCGTTTGTCAGCTGCAAAAGGCCACCATTATTCGCCGATACATCACACAGTCGTAGACACGGGAAGTGTCCGATGTGTGATCCAATACAACAGCCAGCAGAGTGTCTGCTGTGGACTCATATCGTTGTGTTTCAAATAATAATAATAATAATAATAATTGTAATAATTGTAATAATAATCATAATAATGCAAAGATTCTGGCACAAGATTCTGGTAGTCCCAATAGTGATGGGCACACTGGGTGCAGTGCCTAAAGACCTTGGCCTGGACTTAAGCACTATCGGCACTGACAAAATTACCATCTGTCAGTTGCAAAAGGGTGATGATGATAATAATGCAAAGACTCTGGCACAAGCCAGTCAAGGTGGTCCCAGTAGTTATGGGCACACTGGGTGCAGTGCCTCAAGACCTTGGCCTGGACTTAAACACAATCGGCACCGACAAAATTACCATCTGTCTACTGCAAAAGGCCAGGATTATTCGCCGACACATCACACAGTCCTAGACACTTGGGAAGTGTCCGACGTGTGATCCAATACAACAGCCAGCAGAGTGTCTGCTGTGGACTCATCTTGTTGTGTTAATAATAATAATAATAATAATAATAATAATAATAATAATAATTGTGATGATGATGGTGATCATGATCATGATGATCATGATGATGGTCATGATGATGATGCAAAGACTCTGGCACAAGCCAGTCAAGGTAGTCCAAGTGGTGAGGGGCACACTGGGTGCAGTGCCTAAAGACCTTGGCCTGGACTTAAGCACAATCGGCACTGACAAAATTACCATCTGTCAGCTGCAAAAGGCCAGGATTATTCGCCGACACATCACACAGTCCTAGACACTTGTGAAGTGTCCGACGTGTGATCCAATACAACAGCCAGCAGAGTGTCTGCTGTGGACTCATCTTGTTGTGTTTCAAATAGTAATAATAATAATAATAATAATAATAATAATAATAATAATAATAATTGTAATAATAATAATAATAATAATAATAATAATAATAATAATAATAATGCAAAGATTCTGGCACAAGATTCTGGTGGTCCCAGTAGTGATGGGCACACTGGGTGCAGTGCCTCAAGACCTTGGCCTGGACTTAAACACAATCGGCACTGACAAAATTACCATCTGTCAGCTGCAAAAGGGTGATAATAATAATGCAAAGACTCTGGCACAAGCCAGTCAAGGTAGTCCAAGTGGTGATGGGCACACTGGGTGCAGTGCCTAAAGACCTTGGCCTGGTCTTAAACACAATTGGTACTGACAATATTACCATCTGTCAGCTGCAAAAGGCCACCATTGTTAGTTGATACATCACACAGTCCTAGGCACTTGGGAAGTGTCCGACGTGTGATCCAATACATCAGCCAGCAGTGTCTGCTGCGGACTCATCTTGTTGTGTTTCAAATAATAATAATAGTAATAGTAATAATAATAATAATAATAATAATAATAATAATAATTGTGATGATGATGATGATGATGATGCAAAGACTCTGCACGAGCCAGCCAAGGTGGTCCAAGTGGTGATGGGCACACTGGGTGCAGTGCCTCAAGACCTTGGCCTGGACTTAAAAACAATCGGCACCGACAAAATTACCATCTGTCAGCTGCAAAGGGCCACAATTATTTGCCAATACATCACACAGTCCTAGACACTTGTTGTCTTAATAATAATAATAATAATAATAATAATAATAATAATAATAATTGTAATAATAATGGCATGGATCTTTATCTTGGCCTCAGGCAGCAAAATCTCTTGGGCTTCCTTGCCTAACTCCCTTATTGGAGTCGCAACCGCTCCTCTCATTCCATTTCTTCCTACCTCTGCCGTGATGCCAGCTCCGGCCTCCTGCTTGCCGTTGATCCGGGCGACCCTTTGGAGGACATTGACCGCCTTCCCTGTTTTTCCGGAGAGGATGAGCCACCGAGCGGATTCTGCAAACCACCTGCGCAAAAGAAGCCAACGATGCATTGCTTCCATCTTATGCGGTTTCCGAAATTTCCCACCCAGACTTTGCTTGCAATTATATTATTTGGATTCGTGGTTTGTAGGATCATAGAATCCTAGAGTCGGAAGGGACCCCAAGGGCCATCCAGCCAGGGAAACACAATCCGAGCCCTCCCAACAGATGGACATCCAGTATCCGGAGAAGGAGACTCCACTAGACTCCAAGGAATCATCCAAGGCTGTGAATCATCCAAGTCCCACGTACCAGGAGTAAAGGAGGAAGAAGAAGAAGGGTGCGGAAACAGCAAACTGCAGCCAACGCCAGTCCGGGATGCCATAGGACAAGCCAGCAAGAAGGATCTGTCCCAGTGTATAAACAAAGCCAGTGACCGCAATGGTGATGGTCCGGAACTGGGTGGGAATCCACTCCACAACTGGAAGAAAATCCTAGAGTTGGAAGACATCCCAAGGGCCAAGACACCATCCAAACCCTCACGACAGATGGCCATCCAGCCTCTCCCAAGAAAGAGATTTCAACTCCGCTAGACAGTAAATTCTTTCTAATGTTTCCGTGGAATCTCTTTTCCTGCAATTTAAATAAATCAGTGTAGATGCACCCAGAGAAGGTTCGTGGACCTTGGGAAACTGCATTTCCCAAGACCATCTCATGGAGAAATAGCATTTAAAGTAAGGTCCAACTGTAGTCATTCCATACTGTAAATGCACCAAGAGAAGGGTATGGACCTGGGGAAACTATAACTCCCAGGAGGACTCCATCGCATAGAGCTATGGCATTTTAAATGGGGTGAAAGGGCATTCATTCCATACTGTAAATGCACCAAGAGAAGGGTATGGACCTTGGGAAACTATAACTCCCAGGAGGACTCCATCGCATAGAGCTATGGCATTTTAAGTGGGGAGCAAGGGTATTCATTCCATCCTGTAAATGCACCCAGAGAAGGGCATGGACCTTGGGAAACTATAACTTCCCGGAAGACTCCATTGCATGGAGCCATGGCATTTTAAGTGGGGTGCAAGGGCATTCATTCCACAGCGTAGATGCACCCAGAGAAGGGCATGGACATTGGGAAACTATAACTTCCAGGAAGATTCCATCGCATGGAGCGGTGACATTTTAAGTGGGGTGCAAGGGCATTCATTCCATACTGTAAATGCACTAAGAGAAGGGTTTGGGCTTTAGAAAACTATGACTCCCAGACTGCACAGCATGGGGACATGGCATAATAACAATAATGATGATGATGATGATGATGATGATGATGATGATGATGATGATGATAGGTCCTAACTGAATTTATTCTCCAGTGGAAATGCGGACCTTGGGAAACTATAACTCCCAGGACTGCCTAGTATAAAGCTATGACATTTAAAGTTTCATATTGTAAATGGACCAATTGAAGGGTGTGGGCCTTGGAAAACTATGACTCCCAGGACTGCACCGCATGGAGACATGGAATAATAATAATAATAATAATAATAATAATAATACCATATGAAATTAGTCTGCACTGCATTTATTCTCCAGTGGAAAAGTGGAATTTGGGAAACTATAACTCCCAGGTCTGCATGGTATGGAGCTATATTATTTAAAGTGGGTCCCAACTACATTTATTCTTCCGTGCAGATGTGGACCTTTGGAAACTATAACTCCCAGGTCTGCATAGTATGGAGCTATGTTATTTAAAGTGAGTCCCAACTGCATTTATTCTTCCGTGCAGATGTGGACCTTGGCAAACTATAACTCCCAGGTCTGCATAGTATGGAGCTATGTTATTTAAAGTGGGTCCCAACCGCATTGATTCTTCAGTGCAGATGTGGACCTTGGGAAACTATAACTCCCAGGTCTGCATAGTATGGAGCTATGTTATTTAAAGTGGGTCCCAACTGCATTTATTCTTCAGTGCAGATGTGGACCTTGGCAAACTATAACTCCCAGGTCTGCATGGTATGGAGCTATGTTATTCTTCAGTGCAGATGTGGACCTTGGGAAACTGTAACTCCCAGGTCTGCATAGTATGGAGCTATGTTATTCTTCAGTGCAGTTGTGGACCTTGGGAAACTATAACTCCCAGGTCTGCATGGTATGGAGCTATGTTATTCTTCAGTGCAATTGTGGACCTTGGGAAACTATAACTCCCAGGTCTGCATAGTATGGAGCTATGTTATTCTTCAGTGCAGATGTGGACCTTGGGAAACTGTAACTCCCAGGTCTGTATAATATGTAGCTATGTTATTTAAAGTGGGGCGCAACTGCATTTATTCTTCAGTGTAGATGTGGACCTTGGGAAACTATAACTCCCAGGTCTGCATAGTATGGAGCTATGTTATTTAAAGTGGGTCCCAACTGCATTGATTCTCCAGTGCAGATGCACCCAGAGGAAGGTGTGGACCTTGGCAAACTATAGCTCCTAGGACTGCATAGTATGAGGCTATGTTAGAATGCTAGGCCCCACACTTAAAATACGCAAAGAATGCTGTATCCTACACTTGAATCCAACCTAATGTGATGAGAACAGTGTCTTAGCACATTTTAAGTGTAGCACTCAGTGGTATTTAGTAAATGTGATGAAGTGGCCGAAACGGGCCGTCCTTTCCAATATTTAGACATGATTCCCATGTCCCCTACTCAACCTTCACTATACTAAGCATCTCCCTGAAGCATTCCTCATAGGGTTTGGCTCCCAGGTGTCTCCCTACTCCATCTCTTACTCAGGCAGGCGATGCTCAGGCCGAACCCAGAGAGCGCCATCCCACTCAGGCACCGGAATATGCAGTAGGAGAGGAAGTTGGGCGAAAAGGCTGCACAGGTCCCCGTCACGGCGATTTGCAGGAAGGACCAAATGGTGAGCGCCTTGCGGCCAAACCTGCAGGGAGAGACCCCCAAGATCATCCAAGAAGGCACCGCCAAACCCCTCCCGACAGATGACCATCCAGCCTCCAGAGAAGGAGACTCCATCAGACTCCCAGGGAACATATTCCACTGCTGAATAGTAAGCATGGGCAATCCAGGGTTCTAAAGTACTTACAAAACTAGGGGGCGCTGGTGCTTTGTTTCTAAAGTGTTGATAAAGCTGGTGTTTTGCTTCTAAAGTATTTCTAAAGTTCTGGTGGTGAAAATTTCAGAACTCTACCAAAACTTTGAAATGTTTTGTTAGAGTTCTGAAATCTATCTATCCATCTATCCCTCCCTCCTTTTCTGTCTATCTATCCCTCCCTCCCTCCCTCTCTCTCCCTCTCTCTCCCTCCCTCCATCTATCCATCTATCCCTCCTTATGTCTATCTCTCCCTCCCTCCCTCCCTCCCTCCCTCCATCCATCCATCCATCCATCCATCCATCTACTCTCTATCTATCTATCTATCTATCTATCTATCTATCTATCTATCTATCTATCTATCTATCTATCCCTCCCTCCTATCCACTCATCCACCCACCCATCCATCCACCCATCCCCTCTATTTATCTATCTATCCATCCCTCTGTCTATCTATCTATCTATCTATCTATCTATCTATCTATCTATCTCCATCCATCCATCCATCCATCCATCTATCCCTCTTTCTGTCTATCTATCCTTCCCTCTCCCTCCCTCCATCTATCCCTCCCTCACTCACTCCCTCTATCCATCCATCCATCCATCATCCATCCATCCATCCATCTATCTATCTATCCCTCCCTCTCTCTCTCCCTCCTTCTATCCACCCATCCACCCACCCATCCATCCATCCCCTCTATCTATCTATCTATCTATCTATCTATCTATCTATCTATCTATCTATCTATCCATCTATCCCTCCCTACTTTTCTGTCTATCTATCTATCCCTCCCTCTATCTATCTATATATCCATCCATCCATTCATCTATCCATCCCTCTGTCTGTCTGTCTATCTATCTATCTATCTATCTATCTATCTATCTATCTATCTATCTATCTATCTATCTCTATCCATCCTTTATCCCTCCTTCTGTCTA